GGGGAGGGCCTTCTCTGTGGGAGCTCCCACCCTCTGGAATGAACTACCCCCAGAGATCAGGGTGATCCCTGATCTCCCTTCCTTCCGCCGCGCCCTTAAGACATGGTTATTCCAGCTTGCAGGACTGGCCTAGGGGAAAATTTTTAATGGGGGTTTTAAAGTAATTTTAAACTAACTAGACCAATTATTAATATTTGTTCTTAATTATGTTTTTAATCTGTAGTTTTTTGGGATTAGCATTTTTATCTGGTTGTTAGCCGCCCTGAGTCCGCAAGGAGAAGGGCGGGATATAAATTAAATTAATAAAATAAATAAATAAAATATGGAACAAAAAAATATCATTTGGTTTTTGAATGAATTTCTGAGTATTATTTGTGTTTAAAAGTCATAATGTTATTTAGTTTTATTTTTATATTTAAAATTATGTTATGTGGCGTTATCGCCTTGCCACATTAGGGTGGGCCACTCGTGAATAAATGAAGACAACACGCAGGTTTTCCTCGAGGCGAGTGAACCCAGGGCGTGTTCTGAGTTACTCTTTTATTTGGCAACATATATGAGGACGTGCAGGTGTCAATACATAATTGGTTACATGTGTACGAAGTTAGTACATGTTATTATATAATTGGTTACATGCAGTTACATATATAGAAAAATAAGTGCGTGCTATTATGCAATTGGTTACATACAGTTACATAGCTTCTTTGCCTATGATTGGTTAACTTTTGCTGCATAGGGTGGGGTTGCTTAATATTGGGTTATGTTGTTCTTCTATGCATAGCCTATTGTTGTGCTTTTTCCCTACTTGCTTTTGCAGTTAACCTACTTGCTTACGTGCAAACAGCATATGACCCTTAATGCTTCTTTCATTGCCTAGGCTCCTGGTTCACATGGTGACCATGGGCCTAACCATGCTACAGCCACCTGGCCTTCATATCCCAACAATGTTAATATTATGGTATTTAATAATTGTATATTTGGTTTAAAAGAGAGTTAAAGGAAGTTATAGATTTGTTAGATTAATAGTTGATTAATGTTAGTTACATTATGATTATTTTATTGTTAATCCTGTGATTGGCTATGGGAAGTGGGGGGGGAAGGGATGGAGGGTTGGGTTTGGGGGAGGGGGGATTTATATTGTAAAATTTTATAAAACTTTCAATAAAAAAATAATAATAATAAAATCCTTCTCTTTCAGGCCTAGGAAGGTGGTGACAGCAAACCACTTCTGAAATCCTGCCAAGAAAAATGGCAGAGACTTATACGTGTAATTATCATGGGACAAAAAAAAATTTAGTAACCTAAATGTCTATGGAGATTCACAGTCATCCAGGTCATGGTTGTCCCAAAGGTGCTTTTCCAGGAGGCAACTGGACTTTTCTTTGAAAATGTTTCACTTCACTTGTAGAAGCTCTTCGATCAACCTCATTCTGCCATTTTCTTGTCCCATTGTACATCCCCTTTAGCCCAAAGATGCTTTTTCACGAGACAACTGGACTTTATGTTTTTCTCTGAAGACGTTTCGCTTCCTGTCCAAGAAGCTTCATCAGCTCTGACTGGATGGTGAGGAATGGAAGGATTTATATTCCTTGCAGACAGCTGGTCATTTGCCTTCTTTTAGAGAATAGAATAGCAATATTCTTAATAAAGAAAATGGCCCACAGTACTCAGAATCACTTGAGCTCTTCCTAATGGCTAGAAAAACACCAGCATTTTTGAGCTACACACCAAATCCTTCAGGAGCACCAGGGATGCAGATCTCCTTTGCTCTGATTTTATCTGTCAAGTGGGCCTCGTGACAGGAAGAAGGGAAAACAGTGTATGATGTTAGATCATCACACAGTCTTTGCAGTGTCCCAAACATGTTTTTTGATGAGGCAACTAGACTTTGTTTTTTGCTTTGAAGACGTTTTGCTTCTCATCCAAGAAGTTTCTTCAACTCTGACTGGATGGTGGGGAATGGAAGGATTTATACTCCTTGCAGACAGCTGGTTATTTGCCTTCTTTTAGAGAGTCGTTGAGGCCACTTGGAGCTCTGTCTGTGTCCTCAGGGCCACCTGAATGGTGCAAATGAGTGTGGAGCCTTCCTGGAACTACTGGAAGGACTGTGTTGTAGACTGGAGATAGATGATGTCATATCCCTCCCCCTCTGTTGAGAGAGGGCCGTTCAACTTTAACATAGATGGCCTCTTTGACCCCTCTTTCAAACCAGTGGTCCTCTTTATCCAAAATGTGGACTTTGCTGTCTTCAAAAGAGTGGCCTTTGTTTTTTAAATGCAGACGGACTGCCGAATCTTGTCCTGGTGGATTTGTTCTCCTATGCTATGCCATGAGTTTATGAAGTGGTTGTTTTGTTTCCCCAATGTACAGATCTGTATATGGCTCCGTTGCAGTGATTAGAGTAGTTTTCCCAGAGGTTGTTCAGACAGTCGGTCTCTTTATCTTTTACCTAGGCTGATAGGCTGCTTTAAGTACAGATGATTCTAAGCGATGCGTCAATTCTGTTAAAAAAAAAGAAAGAATTAAAACAATAAATAAAAATAACACGATGCAATCCACCTAAATCATAACAATAATCTTCTCCTACACTTATGGAATGTCATGCTCCATCACAGGAGGGGACCTACCATCATATAACTTCCTCAAAATGCCATGATTGGTGCTGATTTGATCTCAGGTGGAACCCTGACCTGGTAAAAAGATAATGTAAAGGAAGCTTTCCCTATTAGAGCTTCCTGTCAAGAATGAAACGTTGCCACCTACGTGCCTTTTCATTTCAACTTGCCATTAGAATAAAACGGGGGGGGGAGGTGTTGCTGTAAAATGGGTCATATCAGGGGTAGGCAACCTTGGCTCTTTTATGACTCGTGGACTTCAACTCCCAGAATTCCTGAGCCAGCATGGCTCAGCTTGGAAACCTCTCCCTTTCCCCTCAGCATGGCTGGCTCAGGAATTCTGGGAGTTGAAGTCCACGAGTCATAAAAGAGCCAAGGTTGCCCACCCCGGGTTAGATGGAGAAATGAAACCTCTACGATTCCACCGAACACCGTGAGAGACTGAAATTTTTCCAAGGACACTGCAGCAAGTGTGGAGAAGAAGCAGACGGTTCCCATAACAATGTGAAATTGTTTACAGGTACTATATGAGGGGTTCGAGGTTAGGCCAGAGAAATTATTATTTAATTCTATGAACTGGTGGTCTGGGAACCTTAGAGTTAGTTTTGCTTTGCAATTACCATGCTCTGCATTCAATAAACAGTAAGATTTTCGGAAACAGAATGAACCTGGAGTTTTATTTGGATTCTCAAGCTGGACGTTGACACTTCCCGGATGGACAGAAGTAGCTGGCAGGAACCTATAAGCCCTTTATAACTCCAACTCTCAAAAGATTGATACTAGCACCCTCACAACGCAAGGCAGTCTGCTGAACAAAGGCCATCCTGCAGAGAGAGGCTTAAGAGCTGTTCAGCTTCCTGAACCTGAGAGATTTTCTCTTTGCAGTTCGATACAACTCTTCAGGTGCAAAGAAAAATTTTTCAACAAAGTTGAGGAAGAAGCAGGCAGTCCACTCAGATTATGAAGAGACTAAAGGGGATGTCTATGGAGATTCTCAAGTCATCCAGGACATAGTTATCCCAAAGAGGCAACTGCACTTTCTTGTTTTTCTTTGAAGATGTTTTGCTTCTCATCCCAAGAAGATTCTTCAGCTCTAAATGGATGGTGGGGAATGGAAGGATTTATACTCCTTGCAGACAGCTGGTCATTTGCATTATTTTAGAGAGTCGTTGAGGCCACTTGGAGGTTTATCTGTGTCGTCAGGGTCACCTGAGTAGTGCAAATGAATGTGGAGTTTTCTTGGAACTGTTAAAAGGACTGTGTTGTAGACTGAAGATAGATGATGTTGTATCCCTCCCCCTCTGTTGGACAGAGAGGACCGCTGGCTTGAAAGAGGGGTCAAAGAGGCCATCTATGTCAAAACTGAATAGCCCTCTCTCAACAGAGGGGGAGGGATACGATGTCATCTATCTCCAGTCTTTCAATAGTTCCAAGATGTCTCAACACCCATTTGCACTACTCGGGTGACCCTGAAGACACAGATAAATCTCCAGGTGGCCTCAATTACTCTCTAAAGGAAGGCAAATGACCAGCTGTATAAATCCTTCCATTCCCCACCTTCCAGTCAGAGCTGAAGAAGCTTCTTGGATGAGAAGCGAAACGTCTTCAAAGAAAAACAAGGAAGTTCAGTTGCCCAGTGAAAAAACATCTTTGGGCTAAAGGGGATATATAATGGAACAAGAAAATGGCAGAATGAGGTTGATCCAAGAGCTTCGACAGATATCATCACTGAGAGCCAGGTGGGGTAATGTCCAGTTTCCCAAGTAGATCAGACAGGAGACATGACTAGATGAGCTAATTCCACATTATTGAAAAGCTACATTAACAGAATCTTGCAAGTCTGAAGGTGCAAATCTCCTGCAGTCTGCTTCACAGCCTAAGAAGCTATTTCCCCCTGAGCTTCTCATCCTGCCCATTATGCAGCTGTGGGCTAAGGCCTCTCTTATCTGACCCTTCCCTAGGCAGCATTTCCTCTTCCCTTTCACTCAAGGTTTTTCACAAGTACCATTACAGATAATGTTAAAGGTGCTGGACTAGGAGAGAGAAGATCCAAATTCCAATCTTGCTTCAGCCATGGAACCCACTTCCTTGTTTTCCTCTTTGCAAATCCTGTATTCAGGCTGACAAGGGGGGTCCCGATAAGGCAATCTCATTGTTGTTGTTTTTTTTCAAAACAAATTTTTATTAATTTTTTAGAATAAACAGAAATATAATTATGGCATACAATAATAATAATAATAATAACAAGAACAAACTAAAAAAAACCTCCTATTACATTATATCTCACTACCATTCTATTATACCAAAATACATAAAAAATCCCTTTTCCCCCCATCCCCCCCCCCGGACTTCCCAGAACTAAATACAGGAGTAAATAAACAACCCCCATCTAAGTAAAACAATCCAATTATAATACATACCAATATTAATTTATTTTAACTCCAAAACTCAAAATATAATTATCCATCTTCCCCAAATCCAAATATCTAAAAATTAAACTTTGCCATTTCTGCAAAAAATAAAAAGTTAGCTACTAATCATACTGCTATTAGTCATTCAAATATCTTGAAAACCCATTAAAAACCATCTTTAACTTCCTCTAAAACAATATAAGTCCTTTAGAATAATACAATTATCTATCATTAATCATTTAAACTCTTTTTTTAATCTCAAGTACATATCTAGTATTAATCATCCAAATGTCTAAAAATCCATTAAAAACCATCTTTAAATTCCTCTAAAACAATATAAATCCTTTAGAATAATACAATTATATGTCATTAATCATTTAAACTCTTTTTGATCTCAAATACATATCTTTTAAGTAAAATTTTCTTTCTATTTTTTCTTTTTATTACAATAGATTTTAATAGTATAACCATCTGGTCTCTTATTAATTCAAATAATATATATCCAAAAAATCAATTCCAAATCAACTAATTTTAAAAATATAAAACTTTCAAAACGTTCGTATAAGATTATCATCAAAAAATTCTTCCATAGCCCATCCAGTCCATGCTTCCGTTCTTTTTTCTTTTTTTCTTTCTTCCATTGCAAATCAGCCCTCGAAGCCAGTAGATCTTCTGCCTTTTCCACTCTATAACAAAATCTTCTGAAAAACACAAGCAACAACATCTCCAGCTGGTTTTCTCTGACGCACGACCCATTTCTATAATCATTTTTTCCAAAATATCTTCAGGGAAGTACATCAGGACCATGACCGGATCTATTGCAGCTTCCTTTCCCAGACTTTCCTGCATGTCCTTTTCATACTCTCTACTTTCATTCGAAATTTCTGCCGATAATAAACCTCTATGATTCCATTATTACAAAATCTTCTAAAAACACAAGCAGCAACATCTCCAGCTGGTTTTCTCTGACGCACGACCCATTTCTATAAGCTTTTTTTTTTTCTTCAAAATTCCATCAGGGAAGTACACCAGGACCGTAACCAGATCTATTACTGCTTCCTTTTCCAACTTTTCATACTTGTCGTTTTCATAATCTCCCATATAACACATCATTGTAAATTATTTCCACAACTATAAGACTCATTTAACCAACAAAAAAGAAGCATGGATTTTTCTTTCTTTCTTTCGCAATTCTGCAGCCATTTTAAAGCCATTCTTCAAACTTCCTTGAAAAACTTCAATAATCCATAAAAATCCATAAAAATAATAAGTATCACCAACAAAAAAACATTGCTAATATTTTGCAACTAGAACTTTCCAAAAGCCAAGAAAAAACCACAATGTATCTCTATCCAGTTAATAACCGGAAGAGAGTGAAAGTAAAAAGCAAAAGTTTTCTTTTTTTTTTCCAGCTCCAAAGAAACGGCAATTTCACAGCCATTTTCTTCTCACTTTAAGTCCCCACCAAAAAGGAAGATGTTAATATATTCTCAAAATCAAAATTCACCAAAACTGCTCCAAACCTCCTGCTTAGTTCCGTCTGTTTGTAATTTAAGTCCAAATAGCTTCAGTAGCAGAGGTGGGCGCTGCATCTAGCTTCGCTCCAAATAGGTCGGAGCGAAGGCGTCCTGGGGCACGGAGAACGTCCAGACTTCGGCTGAGCTCTCACCCCCCAACCCCGATCAGAGAAAAACCGGGGTGAGAGGGAGCTCTAAGCCTATCCGGACTGCTCACCCCCCCTCTTCGCCTGAGGGACGGGGTTCCTAGCCGAGAGACAGCTGTTGCACGCTGTCTCTTCAGGCTTTGACGCGCTCCCAGGCGGACGGCTAACAAAAGCCGCCATTGGTGCAGCCTGACACCACCGGAAGTCAAGGCAATCTCATTGTTAATGGGATGGGGGAGAATACTACAACATAATCACCGTACACCACCCAGAGTTGCTTTCGATGAGATGGATGGCTGCATAAACTTGATGAATGAATGAACAGAATGTTTTGTTGCAGAACTGAGGATTTTAATTTTTTTTCCCTCTGATGAAAGAGACGTGATCCTACAACCTTGTATGAGCTACTTACCACTGGAGGACTTTCAAAATCCTATATGCTGGCTGTAACAAAGAGGAGAAAAATCAAGACTCAGGGTGAATAGAATAGAATAGAATAATAACTTTATTGTCACTTTAAATGTACACTAATCAGCATACATTAAAATGAGATTTCATCGCATATAGCTCTCAGAGGGTAATCACCTCCAATATACACTGCATAAACATGACCAGAAATAAATAAAATAAAATATGCCTATAACCACATACACACACACATATGTGGCCCAGAGAAACAACACAGTCTAGTTCAGATGTATATATATATATGACAAGAAAAACGAATCTTGCAAATTTACCAGACGGATGTCATAGGGAACAAAGCTGTTACAGAAGCTGGTAGTCCTACTAGAAATACTTCTAAACCTCCTCCCAGAGGGGAGCAACAGAAACAGTCCGTAAAGTGGGTGTGTGGGGTCTCTAACAATGCTTCGAGCTCTAAGCACATAGCGCTTATAAGCAGTATCCTGAATAATGGGAAGCGAGCTTCCTATAATCTTCTCAGCTGTCCTCACCACTCTCTGTATGGACCTTCTATCTGAGGCACTGCTACCACCAAACCAAACAGTGATGCAGTTTGTTAAGATGCTCTCAATCCTGCTTCTGTAAAAAGTGACCAGGACAGAAGGAGAAAGGTGTGCTCTCCTCATCCAACACAGGAAATGCAGACGTTGGTTTGCACCCTTCGCTAAGGATGACGTGTGGAGAGACCAAGTTGGATTGTTAGTTATCTGCACTCTCAGATACTTAATACTATTGACCACCTCCTGATCTGCAGCCTTGATACAGAGTGGAGTATGGCTATGCCGTCTCTTTCTAAAATCTACAATGATCTCTTTTGTTTTATTAGCATTTAGAACCAGGTTATTTTTATTGCACCAATCCACCAGAGCCTTCATCTCTTCCCTATAAGTATCTTCACTGTCATCCCGGATAAGGCCCACCACTGAAGTGGAGTGTGCCCTTTAGCCAGACAATACATCTAAGGGATTGCACACAAGAAATGCAAAACTCAGATATCTCCCATGTGTACACTTTAAAAAAACACACACATAATTTCCTCTTGCTATCTGTCCTCTCCCATCAACCGTTATATACCCTAGAACAGGGGTCCCCAACCTCCTAGTCTGTGGACCAGTACCGGGTCACGGCATGCCAGCAAACGGTCCACACAAACAAGGAAAGCCCCATCCGCGGGATGCAAGCAGCACACAAAAAGATGTTGAGACTCTAGAAAGAGTACAGAGAAGAGCAACAAAGATGATCAGGGGACTGGAGGCTAAAACATATGAAGAACAGTTGCTAGAATTGGGTGTGTCTAGTTTAATGAAGAGAAGGATGAGGGGGGACATGATAGCAGTCTTCCAATATCTCAGGGGCTGCCACAAAGAAGAGGGAGTCAAGCTGTTCTTCAAAGCACCTGAAGGCAGGACAAGAAGCAAGGGATGGAAACTAATCAAGGAGAGAAGCAACCTAGAACTAAGGAGGAACTTCCTGACAGTTAGAACAATTAACCAGTGGAACAACCTGCCTCCAGAAGCAGTGAATGTTCCAACACGGGAAGTTTTTAAGAAGAGACTGGACAGCCATTTGTCCATATTATTATTATTATTATTATTATTATTATTATTATTATTATTATTGTTGTTGTTGTTGTTGTTGTTGTTGTTGTTGTTGTTGTTGTTATACCACACCCCCTCTGGTCCACCGAAAAACCTCTCTCCACGGAACTGGCCCCTGGTACCTAAAAGGTTGGGGACCTCTGACCTAGAATAGGGATTTCCAAATTTGGCAACTTTGCGACTTATGGACTTCAACTCTTCGTGCTGGCTGGGGAATTCTGGGAGTTGAAGTCCAGAAGACTTAAAGTTGCCAGGTTTGGAGAGCCCTGCTCTAGAATAGGGTTTTGCAAAATCTGTTCTGCATGAATGTGATGGACATTGTTAAAAACAACAACAACAATGCAATCAAATACTGTCAGGCCTAGTATTTTTTCTAAAATATAGCAGGAAGGCAAAGATGATGGCCCCCTATCGTTGTCTATGGAAATACCTTGGATGGGGTGTGTGGGTGTGTGTATGTGTATGTGTATGTTCTTCTGCAAAAAACTGACCATGTTTATTGTTTTGCTTATGTTGGCCCCGCCACAAGTTACCCTGCTCCAGCATTACTTTCCTCTCTTTTACTCAAACAAACTCTTATGCAAAAGTTTTAGGTGGATTATTATGCACCCCCAAGAATTAAGTTTCATTTATTGCCACTTTTCTATCTCTAGAGTTTTGTCTCTGGATCAGGGCTGGAAAAAAAAATTAGTGAAACATATTGTGGTTCGCCGATGGGGCCTGACTTTTGCTACAGCTTGTATATGTTTCGCTCAGTTTTTGGTTGTGTGTTTTATTGTGAACTTTGCCCAGAGAGATTTGATGGCTGGGCAGTTTAGAAAATTCTAATGAATAAATCAGTAAAAATATGGATACATACACACTTACTTCTACAGGTAATCCTTGACTTAGGACACAGTGGAGCTCAAAATTTCTGTTGCTAAGCAAGACAATTGTTCAATGACTTTTGCCCTATTTTATGACCTTTCTTGCCGCAGTTGTTAAGTCAATCAATGCTAAGTTGATTGATTACTAAGTCAATCAATGTTAAGCTAGTAACACAGTTGTTAAGTAAATCTGGCTTCCCCATTGATTTTGCTTGTCAGTAGGTCACAAAAGGGGATCACATGACCCCCTGCAACTGTGTCATGAATATGTGCCAATTGTCAAGCATCCAAATTGTGATCACATGACCATGGGGATGCTGCAAAGGTTTTAAGTGTGAAAATGGTCATAAGTCACTTGTTTCAGTGCTGTTGTAAATTCAAAGGGTCACTAAATGAATGATTTGTAAGCTACTCGAATGTAGCAAGATCCTATATTTCTCATTAGCAGGGAAGGTGTAAATCTGCCACTGCTTCATTTGGGCTAATCAGGATCATTCCCCCTTCCATCCCAAAGGCAACTTGTACCAAAATTACGTTACAAGGTCACTCACCTGATGCCGGTCTGTACGCGTTTCTGCCACATTTTTCTGCAAAACAGAATCAAGAAGTCAGTGATGATGTTCCCTCTTAGAGATCCTTCGTTTTCCCCATCGGCCTGTGGTAGAAGTTCAGAGCTTCCATGCTTCCTCCAGCAGCATCAGAAAGCTGTGGGCTGGACTGTGGAAGTCGGAAAAACCTTCTTGGAAGAAGGGAATGGTCCCCAAATGCAGAGTGTAAGCATGTCCCCAGCTGACCTCAGCAGGATTGAAGAAGCTATGCAGGATCAATGTTGATCAGTTCTTGGACTTCCCAATTTCAGCTTACCTCTGAATTTCTTGGTGGTCTCCCATCCCAACACTAAATAAGCCCAGCTCGGCTTTGTTTCTTGAAGCCTGCGAAGATGAGTTAGCTATGGAGCTCCCAGGTTGTGTACCAAAACCAACAAGTTCAGTGTCAAGAATGAAAACCTGGCAGCTACATGCTTTATTGTTTTCATCTTGTCATTACAGTAAGTGGGGGGAGAGACAAGGCTTCGAATGGGTTAGTTAGAGAAACGAAACCTCTCCAGTTCTGGAGACGTTTGTTGAGAAAAAGATGTATGGAAACTTTTCAAGGACATTCTAACCACTGTGAAGAAGCTAGCAGACGGTTCTCCAAACAACAAAGATGTCAACGCTGCTAACATTGGATGTTCTTGCTTTGACAACATATGGAGATGCAGCCTTTCTCTTTCTTATGCTTTACTCTTAGAATTAGATGATGCTGGGGGGGAGGAGGAATGTGATGGGAGTTAGTTAGACATAACAATATTGTAATAGTGTGTGAACTCAGGGCTTTTGAAATAAGAGATGATAAGAAATGGCGGGTTGAAGTAAAGGAGGGAAAGCCTGCATTTCAAACTAATTGGAGAATGTGATTTATGACTGTTAATTAGAGGAGGGAATTGTGTTTGATACTGTGTGCTAAGGGGAGGGGAATCCAGATTTTGGCTTCGACTATGTACGTCCCGAAGCTCGAATAAAGATTCTTTAAGGTAAACAATGCCTCAAAGTTCTTTGAAGAGTTTCATCTGTCGGAACCATGACAGAGAAGCTGTTTACATGAACTACGTGGACATCTGGGAGGTTTGGCTGGGAATGTCATTGTTTATATGCTTTGGTTAGATGTCTTTGGATTTTAGACTTAGTTTTCCTTCGCCTGTACCATGCCATGTATTCAATAAACCAACAAGATTTTCAGAAATGAAAGAAATCCTGGAATTTATTTGGTTATTAGGGCTGGAGGTTGACATTCAGGCAACATGCTCAAAAACAAACCAATCTCAGTATTCTGGCTTAGAGCGATGTTCCTCAACCTTGTTAATTTGAAGATGTGTGGACTTCAACTTTGGGAGTTGAAGTCCACACATCTTCTAGTTGACCTGGTTGAGAAAAACTATCTTAGGATATTATGTAGACCAGGCCTCCAGGATCTTCAGTAGGTTTGGAGGCCATGTTCAAAGTGAGCCTAATCAGGAAGCTTGTAGGAAATACAGGTTTTGGGGTGTGGAGGTTGGGAGCCCCTCCCACATGTTTTGTGAATGATACACCTTGTGCCCACCCAAGAGATACTTACTGATGTAGACAATCACTCCAGCAGCAATGCAGACTGTGGTCACCATGACCCCCACAACTCCGCCCACGAGCCCCATGTTGGGCACAAAGTCTGTGTTAGAAAAAAGAGTAAAATGACTAGAGGTGACCTGGGATTTTTCTTCCCTAGAGTTTCCTGGTCTTAGCGAGAGGGCACCAAGACTGAGTTAACTAAGGCATGGTGCTCTACAACAGCGGTCCCCATGCTTTCTGGCTTTGTGGATCCACGGGGAGGGGGGAGAGGGCATAGAACATTTTCCAAAGCACCTGAAGGCAAGACAAGAAACAATGGATGGAAACTGATCAAAGAGAGAAGCACCCTGGAACTAAGGAGAAACTTCCTAACAGTGATGACAATTAACCAGTGGCACAGATTGCCTTCAGATGTTGTGGATGTTTCATCAGTGGAGGTTTTTAAGAAGAGACTGGATAGTCACTTGTCTGAAATGGTATAGGACAGTAATGGCGAACCTTTTAGATACCGAGTGCCCCAAAACCACCCCGCTCCTACTCCCGCTCCACCCCCACCCCACCTGCCCGCAGGGCCACTTACCACCTCCACGGCCCACCACAGATCGCCCAGGTGGCCCTGCAGCGCCATGGTGGCCATGCCCTCTGCCCATGCCCCGCAGCATCATCTGTGCGTGACAGGGCGCAAGGGCAGAGTCTTGTCCCTGCTTCCCGGCTGCCATGTCCTTGGCTGCACTGCTCTGCACGGGCCACATCCAGGGGCAACTCTCCTCCAGGGGGGCTGCTGGTGAGGAGGGGGCCACAGGGGGAGGTGGGGCTGGGGCGACAGCACGCATGGCCACAGAGAGGGCTCTGCATGCCACCTCTGGCATGTGTGCCATAGGTTTGCCAGCACTGATATAGGATGTCCTGCTTGAGCAGGGGGCTGGACTAGCAGACCTCCAAGGTCTCTTCCAGTTCCATTCTGATTCTGATTCAACTGGTAACATCCCCCTCTTCTCTCACCAGGCTCCTCCCAGGCCATGATCAGAAGTTCCAGAAGCCTAGAATGGTCCACATACCACCGATAGTGGTCCCTCTCCTTTAGTCAACCTCGATGCTCAGCCAGGCATGGTAGGTCCCATCTGAGTAGGTCTGATTTGCCAAACACACTGGACTATTTCAAGGGTTTGTCTGAACTTAGGCTAGGTCTTTTAGGGCCTGGCATGTTGAGTGAATCCAACCTTTGACCAATTTAGGGTCAACGCATTGGGTGAACCCAGTAAATGAAGAAGCTCCATCAGCGCGTTCATTAGGTTGTATGACCACAGACACTCTAGGAACAACTTTGCTCATATTCCATTGGTGCCCCCCTCCTTCTCTCACCAGGCTCCTCCCAGGCCACAATCAGAGGTTCCGGAAACCCGGCATGATCCACGTAGCACCGATAGCGGTCCCTCTCCTTCGGGTCAACCTCAATGCTCAGCCAGGCGTGGTAGGTCCCATCTGAGTTTGGAAGAACACCACCCCGGAAGGTGTCCTGTTCCCAGACTTCCCCATTTTTCCTCCAGGTAGCATCCATCTCTTTGGGATAAAAGCCGTAGACTGTGCAGACGAGCGTCTCCAGGCCGTTGTACTGGGTCCTGCGAGTTACTTTCACCACTGGGGGCTCTGTAGAGAACACAACACCGGCATATTTTAAGACTGCACAGGTATAGTACGGAGACATTGCACCACAGATCTGGTGCTCTCCTGCGACATCACCGACCCTTGGCTCCCTCCTTCCTTCCTCACCTATCCTCAGCAGAGATTCCTTTCCATACATCATGCACTTCTGAAGCAGCCTGATACATTCCTGTTCCAAAAAGGTATTCCTGCTCTGGGTGAGGAAAGGTTCAGCTTCCCACCTTCTCTTGATCACCTGAGCGCGGATGTCGACAGCGGTCCAGGTGAGGGTCTTCTGATCCAGGCTGATGAAGTCTTCCCCGTCATAGCCATACTGGTAAACTCCGCTCTTGTGGCCATCTTTGCTCAGATCGCAGCCGATCACGCGCTGCCAGCTGTGAATTCCTGCACCCAGTTTTGGTCACCACATTACAAAAAAAAAAGAGGTTGAGACTTTGTAAAAAGTACAAAGAAGAGCAACTAAGGTAGATTAAGGGCCTGGAGACTAAAAGATACGAAGAACAGTTGCAGGATTTGGGTTTGGCTAGTCTAGAGAAAAGAAGGGCTGGGGGGGAACACGATAGCAGTATTCCAATATTTGAGGGGCTGTCGCAAAGAGGAGGGGGTCAGTTTATTTTCCAAAGCACCAGAGAGCAATTCAAGAAGCAACAGGTGGGAACCAATCAAGGAGAGAAGCGACCTGGAATTAAGGAGAAACTTCCTAACAGCGAGGACAATTAACCAGTGGAACAGCTTTGCCTTCAGACATTGTATAGGGTAAGGTGAGGCAAGATAAGATGATAAGATAATGTAAGATATAAGATATAAGATATAAGATATAAGAAGATATAAGATATAAGATATAAGACTGGTCTTCAAACCTGGCCCTTTTATGACTTGTGGACTTCAACTCCCAGAATTCCTCAGCCAGCGTGCCTGGCTGAGGAATTCTGGGAGTTGAAGTCCACAAGTCATAAAAGGGCCAAGTTTGAAGACCCTGTTGTGGCTCCGTCCTGTGGGTCCCTATCATCGGAGGAGGAAGGCTCTGAACATGAAGGAGAGGAGATGGCCAGGCCTCCCTCTCCAGGACCTTCCCCTCTGGTGCGGCCTTCGGTGTCTTCCGACGGAGAGGAGATTGGCCAGGAGCCAGGTGTTTCTGGGATCGGCCAGGAGCCAGGTGCTTCTGGGATTGGCC